TGGCACTAGAGAATGTAGCTCATATGAACTGCAAATAGCGACAGGATAGCAATAGGCCTGTCTCCTTTGTCCCGATAAGGGACGTGGTTTCTAGAGTGTAAAATGAATCATCCCCAGTAAGACGGTTTGAATTCTGTTTGTCCTCTCAATAAAGGTTGCCATTGACAAACCCTTTTTCTTATTTTCAACTTTCAACATTAAGATTATTTACACTGCATTTACATAGCCAAATTATATGTAGTAATGATTTAATACTGTTATTAGCAATGAATATAGTCGATGTTCCGAAAGTCTTGTCACCCCTACATAATAATATTTCCTATTTCAGATGGCTGACACGAGATCCTACAGTTTCGAGGAGAGGTTGTTTGCAAGTATATGGACACATGATCGTATGCATTCTGGCAAAAGCATGGAGGATATGCAACATAACTTCAGTGCAAGATTCGGCAGCTCCTCCTCCGAAGACGATACTGGTGGGCGATTGACTAGACTTTCAGACCACCCTATGTATTATAAATATATGTATATCTGTGTTTCCCATGAGTTCCATTGAGAAATCCGTTGGTAGTATAGTAAGTTGGTTAAAATAGTATCAATAGGTTTGATCAGAATGCCAGAAAAGAAATTATGTTGTGATCTAAAATTAAGTATTAAGGAGAGAAAAGGTTATGTAATGTCTCATGTAAATGTATTGGGAGTGATTTTACTACAGAAATTCACTGAGAATCAGAAAGACTAGAATTGTCAGTGGTCAGAAGTGGAGGCAAGCGTTACAGACAAAATAGTGCTATTATATATAGAATTTTAAACATTGCTAAAAATAATTATAGCCGCGAACCCCGCATTCGCCAATGCATATAACAGATAAATAATTCAATAAATATAACATTGCACGTAGCTAATACGAATCTCCTCAGCACATGGCCGAAAAAAGACTTCTTGCATTTAGACATATAGGGTTGAATTTAAAGAAAGAAGAATAGCGACGATTTAAAATGTACCCCTTTTGGTAACGTCACGAAGCGGTCGTTAGCAAAAATTCCTGAGTAGGCATCAGGCATAATCCGACAATCCCCCAAAATACCAATTAATTTTCTATTGAATAATAATATTGTAAGGTGTGCCTACACACTCAATAAAAAGTGAAGACCAAAGAGTTTTCAGGGACTAAACAGTGAGATTTACCCCACTTGTCTGCTAAAGGACTTCTGCTAATAACCGCAGATGACGTTGTTAAAACTTGTATATGAGAAAAATGCGCAAATATCCTTTTTTTACTTATTATCATAGGACATGATTCGTTTCCCTCAAGAATGAGGAAGGGGGCGAATCTAATAATTCAGCAAATAAAAACCAGAAATTACACAGTATACAAGGCTTAATTGATGGCATACAGACATACTAAATAACTCTATCGAACTAATAAAAATGAATTGAATGTATATGGCCTCTAGCATTTTTAAGCAGTAATGGGAGCGTGACTGACTTAAGATGGAAAAAGAGTCTACGTTAAAATTAGCAGCACAATTTACGCGTGTTTATGAGGTGCTAGAGGCCATCTGCATTCAATCCATGCAGATTTCGCTTTGTAAACAGAAGAATTTTGTACTTGGCCTCCAAGTCGTTTCTATTTAAAAATATTTTTTCCATTCCATTTTACGGATGATTTACACTTACATATTAACCTTGATTTAGCTCAGTTAAGCCAAGTTAGAAACCGATTAGCGAGTCTGTTTTTCATTTTTCCTTTTAATTGTCTATCATGTGTATTACTAAAAAAAAGTCTGGTCTCTTCATGTCGGTTATCAAATTTTGTACCAGTAATAGAATTTCTGAACACACACACACACACACACATATATATATATATTTATATAGCCGGTTTCTGTGAGATATATTTAATTTTAGTCTCTCACCAGCGTTTTGGGATAGAGCTTGTCAATGTGCAGTTCCATTATCTCTTACATATCTATCTATCTATCTATCTATCTATCTATCTATCTATCTATCTATCTGGTGCTTCGTATCTATCTATCTATCTGGTGCTTCATATCTATCAATCTATCTATCTATCTGAATCTTTTCATAGCTATCTATCTCAATCTCCTCAAATTTGTCTATCTTAATCTTTTCAAATCTATCTATCTATCTGGTGCTTCATATCTATCTATCTATCTATCTATCTATCTATCTATCTATCTATCTATCTATCTATCTATCTATCTTTTCATAGCTATCTGTCTATCTGAATCTTTTCATAGCTATCTATCTCAATCTCCTCAAATTTGTCTATCTTAATCTTTTCAAATCTATCTATCTATCTATCTATCTATCTATCTATCTATCTATCTATCTATCTATCTAGTGCATCATATCTATCTATCTATCTATCTATCTATCTATCTATCTATCTATCTATCTATCTTTCTATCTATCTATCTATCTATCTATCTATCTATCTATCTATCACTTCAGGATAGAGTTTGTCACTGTGCAGTATCTTTCTGTTTTACATAACAAAAATTTCTGCTCCTTATAGGATGTTTTCTATACAGCATTCAGTTTTTGGTGGGGAGAAGTTGTTGTCGCCGACTCCAGCACGCAATTTGGTTTCCTATAAAGTTAATTCCAAATATAATCCGTTCTATGGAGTCTTATTGAGAGCCCTGGTCTTGTACCAGACAGAGCAACAGAAATATTTATGGCACATACTGCAGAACACCAGGTAGGAAATTAATTTTGCAGATCAATGTTCAATTCTCATTGAAGGTTTTCTGTCAATGCCAGCCTTGGGCGTGCTCATTAAATATATATTCGAGTCACTTTAGAACTGATTCCGCTTGTACATCACTTGAAAGGGGTTTAGGCGATATGGATTACAAATTCTCTGGGAACATAATGGATACTTTGTTATTTTATTTGAGTTTTTATTGATCAGTCTGCGGCATTTGCTTTATGTATTCGCCTGAATGTCTTCCTTGTTGAGCTCAGTTTGATGTCACTGATTTTTATCTTTCTATCTATCTCAATCTTTTGAAATCTATCTATCTATCTATCTATCTATCTATCTATCTATCTATCTATCTATCTATCTCAATCTTTTCATATCTGTCTATCTCAATCTTTTCATATCTGTCTATCTGAATCTTTTCATATCTATACCAATCTTTTCATATCTCTCTATCTATCTGAATCTTTTCATATCTATCTATCTATCTATCTATCTATCTATCTATCTATCTATCTATCTATCTATCTATCTATCTATCTATCTATCTATCTAAAATATTAATAACACCTATTGATATACAAAGAATTATATAATCTAAAGTATGTCAACTCGAACAGAACCTTTGCCAAATAGGACCCAGTACTTATCTAGAGCAATAGCTTTAAAAACCTCGTCGTTTTTAAATAAATTTCTTAAATATTTTAAATATTGATGCTTCTTCAAGGACACATGGCCCAGTGGCTAAAAGCGTTGGTTGGATCCCATGACTTAACCCAAAGTGTTGTGAGTTCAATACCTGGCTACTGCAGTGGTGAACAAAAAAAAAATTGAGCATTGAGTTAAAGGGAGATAACTGAGACATCTAAAAGAGTCATTGCACGTGGAACTAGAACTGGAACTAGAACTATCCCGGTGGATGAAATAAAAGGTTTAGTTCGAAATTCCAATCACCTGAAGGAGACCGGAGCGTGCAGTGGCCGGAAACGTCGTGAATATGGCAATAAAGATAAGGACAACAGTCCGAACAATGTAAATATTAATATATGTTGTCAAATACATCAGATGTTATGGCACGCATCATCAATGATCTTTTTAGACGTAAATCATTAGGGGTTTCGTGTTTTACAACATCACACGCCTTCTCCACGGTGATCCAGTCGATATTGAATCGATATTGACTTGTATAACAGCTACCATCTACAGCTCTTCTTCCTAGCCCACAGCTACAAAATAACTCATTAGGCCTTTATAGTCCAATCACAACCAACTTCCGGTTTACTTCATAATCAACTTCCTGTTCAATTTTACGCTTCTTTCTTAGCAATTAGTGTTCCACATGAACACAATTAAAGTCAAATCACGTTTGAAGTGAGTTCGATCTGCCAAATTCAAAAGAAAAATTTCTTGATCGAATAGTGACTTGTGATGGGAAATATATTCTTTATGACAATCCTAAACGATCGACTCAATGGTTTGATAATGACAAAAGACCCAAACACTTAAATTGCACCAACAGAAAATGGTGGTAACTGTCTGGTGGTCCGCCATTACAGGACTTTTTGGAATCTAAGCAGAGCATCACTGTCGAAGTTTACTGACAACAAGTGGATGAAATGCGCACTCAGTTCAGGAAAATGCGACTGGCACTGATTGAACGATGAGGTTCAATTATAATCGATGAGACATGTTGTCAAGATGACACCGCAGAAGCTCACAGAGTTGAGATACGAAACTTTGCCACATCCATCACATTCCTCTGATCCCTTTAGCACTTTTTCAAGGCCCGTGACAATTTTTGAAGGAAAAAAGACATTGCATTGTAAATAAAATGCAAGGACTGTATTCTAAGGTTTCTTGGCGCCTAAAATTTTATCGTAAAAGCATAAATAACGTTGTAACTCGATGACAGAAATATCAAGGAGTTTTATTTTGACCGATTTAAACAGTGTTTAAATATATTAATCCAGGAATAAAGGTTGATACTAAAATCGGAATTATTTTCCCAACAACCTAATATAACATATAAAACATGCACCTTCAAGTTTTTCATTTTAAATTCGTACTTTCTTAAAACGCTATTTTATTTATTTTCATTCTTTACACGAATCTGAATAACGCCTTCTAAGAGTGATATGATGTCATTATATGATGTCATTATATGATGTAAATAAATTGAATTTTCTATCAAAAGTTCTGAGGAGAGGCTATCTTTTATTTGAAACGCTGAGACAGAAAGATAAGTCTGGACATTTTATTTATTTGTTTACTATTGCACTAATAAAGAGAGATATAGAAAGAAAAAGAGAGTGAAAAAGAAATAGAGAGAGAAAGGGGAAAGAAAAAGAAAGAGAGATGAGGGGAGAGAGAAAGAAAGGGACAGATGAGGAGGGAGAGAGAAAAAGAAAGAAAGAGAGGAAAATAGGGGAGAAAGAAAGAGAGATAAAGGGATAGAGGAGAAATAAATAAATAAATAAATAAAGAAAGAAAGAAAGAAAGAAAGAAAGAAAAAAAGAAAAAAGAAAAAAGAAAGAAAGAGAGAGAAGGATAAAGAAAGAGAGAGTGAGAGAGAGGGAAGAGAGTAATAAACAAAGAGAGAGGAGAGAGAGAGAAAAAAGAAAGAGAGAGATTGGGAGAGAGGGAGAGAAAGAAAAAGAGTGAGACAGCGAGAGAGAAAAAGAAAGAAAGAAAGAAAGAAAGAAAGAGACAGAGGAAAAGATGGACAGCTAAGTCTCAT